AACTTGAACCCAGGCTTCTTTTGAGGTAGAATTTGATATTGATGATGGTAATGGTAACATTTACATTTGTGCCTTTAGTTTTATTTTAGTCTAACATTAGTTAACATTTACAGGAATATCTAGCAATCTTTGAAGCAATATTATGAAATATAGACATTAGACAGATTAGGAATCTGTACTTTAAAGCTTAAGTAAAATGTCAGGAGTCATAGAGTCAGTACTGGGGTCTGAAACACATAATAGTGTAGGAACCACTTGTCAACAAAGAACAAAGTCTGTATATACTTTATGCCACTACAATATACAAAGAAAAGTTCATGATCAGCTCAATTAGCAACTAATAATCATTCGTTTTGTGCAAAGTGGTTTACCAAAGACAAATTATTTCTGTCTGTGTCTCTCTATAATTAGATATTTCCTATTCTAATGGTAGTAGCATTTGTGAAATCACTGAACTGCTGAAGACTTGATACAAATTTTAACTTTCTGGGTTGCCGTCTTGGTTTCTATAACATTGTTGAAGGACTTTTTTTTTTGGTTTTTTTTGAGACAGGGTCTCTCTGTAGCCCCAGTTGGCCTGGAACTCACTAAGTAGACCAGGCTGGCCTTGAACGCACAGAGATCCACCTGCCTCACAGTGCTAGGATTAAAGGCATGCACCACCATGCCTGGCCCTGTTGAAAGATTTTAAAGTGTTTCTGAAATCTGATGAGTGGACTGTATTAAATGAATGTTGTTGATGGTAAGAATCAAAGATGGAGCCAGTCCTTTGCCTTTCTGATATTGTGTGTTTGTCTTTGTTTTGTATAACCTTTTCCAGATCATGTTCATCTCAGCTGTTGCAGACCCAAGGATTATAAGGTGTGTCAAATAAATTACATAATGATAATTTCCTTGGCTTGCAGAAGACAGCATAAGTATATTTCCAATATATAAAGTCAGATGGGGATTATTATTTTTTTTAGTTATGTAAAAATTGCAAAAGCATTAATTGTCACATCATGGAATTCATTGTTTGGTAGCTATGCCAAGTGGTGTAATAGGCCTTTCATTGTACATCTTCAGACAAATATGTTGTGGCATTCATTATCCTTTTCATATTTATTGACTCTCTCTCTCTCTGTGTGTGTGTGTGTGTGTGTGTGTGTGTGTGTGTGTGTGTGTGAGAGAGAGAGACAGAGACAGAGACAGAGAGAGTTAGAGAGGAGAGACAGAGAGAGAGAGAGGACTTTGGTTGCTACCTATGGTAACACCTCACACAATAGTATTTCCCAAACTTGTTATTACAGCTCCCCTTAACATTTTTTTTGCAGTGTTTTCATTCATTTTCCATTGTTTTGTTTAGATTCGCTCTCTTTTTATCTGACTCACTCTCATATGAAAACTCAGCATCACTTGTGTTAAGTGAATGGTGGCCCTGAACAATGCAGTGGTGGCAACTGCATAAGCAAAGGCTGTGTGCTGTGTGCTATGTGCTATGTTTTAAAATGAGATAAGCAATGATAGAGAGGTATAGGAGAAATGTGGCGAGAATTGAAAGCTAAGATAGTACCTCGTGTGATTCAATGTTATTTAGTGTATGCCCATGTACCATGTAAAATAGCCTTATCATGTAAAATCGTTTTGGATAGCATATTGTTTTCTGCCATAGTGTTGTAAGTGCATGTCCTGTGTTTTCAGAAGCACTGCCTCACAGTTTCTTCCTGTGCCTAAGGGTAAGCTTTTGAATAATAAGTGTCATTGTACTTGTAAAAAAACAGTGTAACTGTTTTATAGATACATTTATTTTCCTGGAAACATTTATTTTACATTTACCGGTTCTGAACAGCATAGAACTTTGCAGTGCTTTAACTTTGATAAAAGAAACATAGACAAGTTAATGGGTCAAAGCACTGTGTAATTAAGGCCCCAAGTCACCCATGTCAGAATCATCCATGTGGAATTCTATAAAAATTCTCTCCAGACCTACTAAATTGAAATCGCTGAGAACAGAGACTATTCCTCAAGGATTCCTAGACAGCACTCTTTCTATCTATCCAAGGATTTGCATTTGAAAACCATTGATACATACTATTATTAGAGTTCTCAGAATAGTGTTCATATAGGGTTGCTACTGACTAAATTGAAATCGCTGAGAACAGAGACTATTCCTCAAGGATTCCTAGACAGCACTCTTTCTATCTATCCAAGGATTTGCATTTGAAAACCATTGATACATACTATTATAAGAGTTCTCAGAATAGTGTTCATCTAGGGTTGCT